ACAAATCAAGATTCTCTTTCCCTCTAGTTCAGAGTTTTTTATTTTATTACACACTGACTGCTGGGCATATTTATTGCAGATCTTGCTTATCTAATCAGTTCCACTGATAAACTTTTCTATACTTTTTTAATCATAAAAAATGGGATGGGAGAAGAGAACGAAAATTGCCTACTAATATGCCAGGTATTACCCTAAGCATTCTGCAAATATTATCTCATTTGATACTCAAAACAATCCTTTGAGGTAGATGACATTATTATTCCCATTTTACAGTTGAAGAAACTAAGGTAAACAGAGGTTAAGTGACTCACCCAGGGTAACAAGTGTCTGAAAGTGGATTTAAACTCAGGTCTTTCTGACACGAGGTCCAGTGCTCTATCCACTATACCATTTAGCTACCTCTAGGCCAACTTCCTTTCTGGTAGCATTTAAGAACTCACATCATTGTTCCTTGGTGTATAAGAAGCTACTTCTTCCTCAGATTTCTATGGAAGATGGGATTTTAGTTGGGATTTAAAGGAAGCCAGGGAAGCCAATAAGCAGAGATGAGGAAGGAAAGAATTCTAGGCAGGGGGACAGCCAGTGAAAATGCACTGTCAGGAGATGGAGTGTCTTGTTCAAGGAACAGCATGGAGGCTCCAAGTCATTGGACAGCAGAGTACATGGCAGGGTGTGAGATTTAAGAAGATTAGAAAGGTAATGAGGGGCCAGGTTATGAAGGGCTTTGAATGCCAAACAGAAGATTTTGTGTTTGATCCTATAAGACAGGGAGCCAGCGAAGTTTATTGAGTAGGGGGTGGGTGGTGGGTGGAGTGACATGGTCAGAACTGTGCTTTATTTATTTATTTGTTTGTTTGTTTTTGGTGCTGGCAAATGGGATTAAGTGACTTGCCTAGGGTCATGCAGTTAGTGTCAAGTGTCTGAGGCCAGATTTGAACCCAGGTCCTCCTGACTCCAGGGCTGGTGCTCTATCCACTGTGTCATCTAGCTGCCCAGAACTATGCTTTAGGAAGATCACTTTGACACTTGAGTGGAAGATAACTTGGAGCATGACTGACTTGTGGCAGGGAAATCCACCAGCAGATTACTGCAATAGTCCAGGTGTCAGATGATGAGGACCTGCATCAAGATGGTAGCCATGTTGGAGGAAAGATGCTCTGAAAGTAGAATCAACAGGATATGGCAAGAGATTGGACATAGGGGTGGGGGTGGGGCAGAGAGAATGAAGAATCATCCATGACACCTAGGTTTCAAGTCTGGGTGATTGAGAAGATGGCGGTACTCTCAAGAGAAGCAGGGAAGTTAGCAAGAAGAAAGGGTTTGGAAGGAAGGATGAATTCAGTTTTGGAAATAGTGAGTTTAAGATATCTATGGGACATCCAGTTGAAGATGTCTAATAGGCAGTGGGAGATGCTGGACTGGAGGTCAGCAGAAAAGTAGGGATGGATATGTAGATGTGAAAATCATCAGCATAGAGATGATAATTGGATCCAGAGGAGCTCCCCTCCTCACCTGACTCAATATTTTGTCTCTCCCCCACTTCCCCATAAACGACCTCCTACCCTTCCTTCTGTTCTCTTCTGTGCATTAAAAATGCTTCAACAGCTTTTACATTTCCTTTCTTTTTCTGGTCAACCCTATTGAAACCTCCCTCTCCTTGCCATGTCCCCCCAGTGAAAAGGGGGGAAAAGTACAATTCTTATAACAAATACACATAGTAAAGCAAAATAAATTCCCACATTGGGTGTATTCAGAAAAGCAGATGTCTCATTCTTCACCCTGAATGCATCAGCTCTCTGACCAGAGGTGGGCAGCATGCTTCATCATCCATCCTCTGGAATTGTGATTAGTCATGGCACTGATAAGAATTCTTAAGTCTTCCGAAGTGATTTTTCTTTGAAAATGTTGTCATTGTATAAATTGTTCTCCTGCCTCTATGCAGTTCCCTCTATATCAGTTTAATACAAGTGTTGCCAAGTTTCTCTGCTACTGTCCAAAGGCAGGGGCTTTAGGGACACACACATTTTGGTGGCAGGAGGAAGACAAGCTATCAGACTACAGAAAGAACCTGAGAAAAAGCAACCACATAGGTACTAAGAAAGCTGGAAGAGAGCAGCGTTACAGAAGCCCAAGTAAGGAGAACATATCCAGGAGGAGAGTTGCTTAATGAATGCTTAAATTTAATCAAATTTGTTCAGTTGAATTGAATTAGGTTGGCCAGCACCGCAGGAAGGTCACGGAGGGTGGGGACCAAAAAGATCTGTTGAATTTGGCAATAAAGTCATTAGCTTGGGGGAGAAAGTGTTGGAGGCAGAAGCCAGATTGCAAAAGGTTGAGGAGTGGGTGGTGAGGAAATGCAGGCACAGAAGTGAAATACTCTTTCTAAAAGTTTGGTAGTAAATGGGTGAGGGAGGGAGGGAGGATGACAACTTGAAAGGAGGAAGGTTTTTCTTTCTCTTAACTGAGAACTAAACATATTTGTTTGTAGAAGGTAAGGAGCCAGTACAAAGCAGATGATTGATGGAACAAGGTCAGAAGAAATGGGAGAAGCTGAGATCAGTGGAAGCATTTGCCTTGATAAGGAGGAAGAAGACCACTTCCCTCTGAGACAAGAGGGGAAAGGATATGTCAGAGCCAACACAATTTCTCCAAAGTATACATTTGGCCATACCAACTGCCTCTGAATAACTTCCACTGGCTTCCCATAACATCCAGTATCAAATGTATCAAATGTAGTCATATTTAAAGCACTTCACAACCTGATCCCTTCCTACTTTTCCAATTTTCTTCCATTCTACTCCCCTTCACAAATTCCACAACTCGATGGTGACTTGGCACAGGCCTCCCTTACTTAAATCCAATTCACTTGCATGTCGTGGCGTCACCTTCCTGACATCATGGTTCTCTTTTCAAACATAGGACAAACAACCACAAGCACAACAATAAGCCCCGTCTCCTCTAGGAACTCTGTTCCATTCCCCTCTGCTGCTAGTGCCATCCCCTCCTCTATCCACCCTGTATTTGTCTTTTCTGTTCTGATCTATATGTGCTGTTTCCTCTGGTAAAATTGTCCTCCTTGAGGACAACCTGTTTTTGCCTTTCTCTCTTTTGTATCCCTAGTGCTTAGTAAGGGCTTAATAAATGCTTGGTGATTAATTGATTGAAGTGGGTCAAAGTTACTACTGGAGTATGGTTAAGGGAGGTAAGTCGACAGCAATTAGACTCCTTGGGCATCTAGAACTTCTAGAACCAATTAAGCTTAGCACCTACACAGCAAGAACAGTTAGTTAAGAGGAGCATCACCAGATGCTTCTTCAGGCTATGTGAACTCTCCCAACCCAACTCAATGGCCTATATGTGTCCAGCCTGGTGGCTTGGTAGTCTTTTCTCAATTGAACTTGTCTTTAACAGTTGATTTGAGGATGGTTCTCATGTCATTCACATGTTTTGTGAAACTCGCCCTTGTGTGAAAAATGCTAGCTAAGACTGGAGGAGTGTTAGAAGGGACCCAAGTTCCTTTCCAACCACGTCATCAATAAAGTAGGACTCAGGATCGGAGAAAAAGAAGAAGGGAAGGACTTCAGGATTGGAGAAAATGGCTAAACTTTGTAACTGGCACTGTGGGCAATCTGATAGAAAGCTGATCAGAGATGAATAAAAGGATTGCCTTGGTGCTCGGAGAGCCTAGTATAGTAGATACTAGTGTTCTAATCACTTAGATACTACTAACTGTGTGGGCCCCCCCCCCCCCCCCGCCCCTCGCAAGCCACAGTAACTTTTCTGTTCCTCAGATTCGTCATCTATAAAAGGAGGAGATTGGATTCCTGGTCAGCAAAGCTTTTCATCCATGATCCCCATTTAGGTTGCCACTAATTTGTGTGTGGTCCACTATAGGATTTTGTGATCTATTCCATAAGTTTAATCAATCATAAAGCATTTATTAAGTGAACCCTTACTGTGTGCTAAGCACTATGCTAAGGGTTTGAGAATATAAAGGAAGGGGGGAAAATACCTTAATCTCTACTCTCAAGGAGTTAACATTCTAATGGGGGAGACAGCATTTAAGTAAAGGGGTGAATATATGTATAGGTATGTGTGTACGTATACTTGTATATGTACATACAGACATACACACTCTAAGTGACTAGGACAATGCTCCAGAGGAACAGGACGGCTTCTCAGGGCCCCTCCACTCTAAGATTCTGTGATTCATTCAGCAACCATCTCTGCCTACTCACCCCCTCCTCACCCTTCTTTAGAAGGCACTCCCTTCTGCCTTGGTTTCTAACATTCTGAAAGGGTAGTAGGTCTATTTTTAGGGGTGAGAAGTGTAGGGGCTACCACAATCAGACACAGAAGGTCCCTCAGGATTCCAAGCCATCAGCATTCTTGAAAACAGCAAAGATGGGAATGTCAGAGGGTAGGAGCCCAAAACCAATCAGGCTTGTTAGTCAAAGAAAGGTGAGGAAGCAGGAGATTCCCGAGACTGATTCCCTGGGATTAATCTTACAAGTACATTGCTTTTAAATTCTTCACGACAGCTCCACCTCGCTCCTAAAGCAGGATTTCTGCGTCTTTAACAGAAAATAAAATATCAAAACTCTAGAAATCAAGCCAAAAATATAACATCCACATCCCAGACACCCCATCTTTCAGTCCCTTTGGGAAGAAAGAAAAGGCTCCCTCCGGCACACTGCGACAAGCCCCTCAGCTTGACCCCCTAAATGCTGCGCGGATCATCAGCTCGGAGGGGTCCAGGTAGCAGTGCAGGGTGATGTAGCCACAGCCGGCCGGCCGCCGGCGCGTGCCCTGGAGGCACGGATTGACGCAGGGCCACTGCGCTCTGCCGGGGAGGCGTGCGCGGACTGTCCCTGCGGGAAAGGGAGATGCGGGGGCGTGGGGGGCTGCGAGCAGGAAGTCCCCGGGAACTACAAATTGAAGCATGCTGGGAGCATTCCCACGCCCCTCCCAGGAAATGTCCTTTGTCCAGCCGAACAGGAAGCCCCAGTAAGGAGTCAGCCCGCGGCGGCCGCTGCAGCCGCTGCTCAAGGGTAGGAGCTCCGCCGCCGGGGCAGCTGTGGGGTACTGCCTGCTCAGCCTCGCCTTCCCTTCCTTTACCCCTCCTCCTCCTCCTCCTGCATCTTCTGTCCCCGCCGCCTCCGCGCAGGTAAGCGCCTCCCGGTCCCCCTGCCCGGGTGGGAGCCCATGAACCCGCCACCCTGGGTGGGCACCGCAGCGATCCCAGTGGGGAGGGGGCGCGCGGAGCCTCCAGACTGCAGGGTGGGGAGGCAGGGCTGGGCTGGGTGTGTGGGGGGGTGGCGAGCCCCAGAGAGATGGGAGGAGAAGGGGGGGGCACCGTGCCGAGGACCACCGAAGGGGGCATCCGAGACCCTTTCAAGAACGGAGCCTGGGGAGGAGCTTGGAAAACAAGGTGAAGGGCTTTGTGTGCTCCTAGCTCTGGTGGAGGACTGGCCGCGCTGCCCTTGTCTCACCTCCAGCGGGGCCGAGGAGGGCCCTAGGGGTGAGGGCACGGTGGCTGCATTGCAGGGTCCTCTCTCCGTCCCACCCTCTCAGCGCGCTTCCCTTCGCCCCGCTGTGATGTGTCTGTCTGTCTTTTTGCCTTTCATTGCATTCTCAGCGCTTAGCCCGGTACCTGGCACACGGGAGGCTCTTAATGAATGCTGGTTGATTGCCTGGGAGAACCGTGCAACGGGCACAGGAGCCCGGAGTGGGACGCGGGGGAGAGGGATGGGGCAAGGTGGGGAGGGCACCTACGCATTTCTCTATTCCAGGTGGGCGCCTTCCCTCTCAGAGTGGAGCGTGAACCCTAGGGGCAGAGTTGGGATCTTCACCTTGGCAGGCAGCTGGGTTTGGGGAGTTGGGAACTGTGTGAGGAGACGAGTGAGGCAATAACTTCATCTCAATTTCATAAATATTGATTAGTGTCTGCTATGTGCCCCGGGAGAATGAAAGACTATGGGCGAAGCGACGGAGTAAACATTTTGCCCGGACTTGACCATAATTTAACCATAATTTAATCTTCCAACCCTCTTCTGCCCCATGCGTTTATCTTAACCCCTTTTTTGGAACTCTCAGCGGCTCTTCTTAAAAGTATTCTCCCTAACTGGACATTGTTTTTTTTTAAATTATTGGTTTCATGGTCTTAATTTGGAAAAAAAAGTCAGGTGATTTTGAAGATTTTGTTTTGGGAATGGGGAGGAAGAGAAGAGAATCTTTAGATTGGTTCTCTTCCCTTTTTCACCCCCACCTTCATCCGTGGCCCTGATGGAAAAGTAGAAGGTTCCACACTGAGGTCTGTTGTGGGGAAACAAAGGTGCCTCTTTGACTTCTCTTGGATGGACAAGTGACTTTGGATTGAACATAGATTCCAAGCATTTCAGGCTTTTCCTCCCTCCCTTTGCAGTGATGGAGGAGTGGGTGGGGCAGAGGGCTATTTAGGCTAGAGAAGAGACTCTGTACAGTGAAGGAGGATTGATTTCTTGGTTATTTTGGAGAGGATCTGCTGTGAAAAAATAAGACTTATTCCTGCACCCTAGGAAAAGAGGTAACCAGAAATTCAGTGGAGACAAAATCCAAAATGAAAGGAAGCAGCCTCAGATGTCTGTACACAAATGTAGAAGTGTGAGTAATAAGCAAAATAAACTGGAGTCTAATAGGCAAAGAGAGTGAAAATCTTGAGGATAGGTTGGGCTGGGCTGGGCTGGGCCGGTGGCTGGGGGAACTGAATGGAAGGCTGTGGACCAAGGCACTAGGGTGATTGCTGCTTGGGCTGTAGTATATAAAATCAACAAGCAGCTAGTACATACCTGGCACTTTGCTAAGGGCTGGGAATACGAAGAAAGGCAAAAGAGAGTCACTGCTCTCAAAGAACTCAGTCTAAGGAAGGAGACAGTGGACCAAAAAGCCAGTAGAAATAAGTTGTATATAGCATAACCAGCAGAGGGAAGGCCCTAGCTTTAAAATGGACCAGAAATATCTTGTGGAAGATGGGATTTTAGCTGGGACTTGAAGGAAATATGAATGCTAGGCCAGAGAAAATGCCCAGAGAGTCTTAAGATAGGGTGTCTTGTGGGAGGAGCAGCAAGGAGGCCAGGGTCACTGGATCACAGAAGATGGCAGGTGGGATGACATGTCAGAAGATTGGGAAAATAGGAGGAAGCCAGGCATGAAGGACTTTAAATGCCAAAAATTTTATTTTTTACATTTGTTCCTGGAGATAATAGGAAATTTATTGAAATTTATTGAATAAGAGAGACATGGTCAAAGCTGGATGGGACCTTGTAGAGGTCCTAGAGGCATCAAACTCGAAGCCCTGCAAGCCATGTGTGACCATAACTCTCCTGTGCAATGGAACCAGGTTAAGATGTAATGGGGAAATATTTAGTAAAATAAAAATACAGTAAAACATAGATAATGTTAATATGTGGTCTTCTAAGTCGTCATGCAGCCTGCAGGGATTCTTAGGTATGTTTTTGTGGCCCTAGATTCAAGTTTGACACTGCTGATCTAGGCCAACTCTCCATTTCACCTCGAAGATGAGAAATTGATATCGCAAGAGGTCAAAGTATTTGGTTGAGATCGCAGGTACTAAGTAGTGATAGGCTCAGGATTTAAACTTTGGGCCTCTTATTCCCAGATAAAACATTTTTTTCTTATGTATCACCAACCTCTTATTTTACATGTGAGGAAGTTGACCTCTCTGTCTCTGCCTAGAATTGTCTTTATTTACATAGTTTATATCCTTCTTTGTGCGCACTTGCTCCCTGCAGTAAAGTTTTATTGAACTCAGTACTGGCTTGAAAGTTTTTCCAATGTCAGATAGATTGTAAGCTTCCTGAGAGTTAAGTTCTAGATTTGTTCCTCTGGAAGGGGGGTGGGGTAAGGAGAATGGGATTTATCTTTCAAAAGCCTTTAGATGGTAAGCAGTAGGGAGCCAGCTCTCTCTCTCATCCCCACCTTCACTCTAAGGTCCAGGTAAATCACCAGGGTTTTGGGGGGTGTTTTTTGGGGGGAGGGGTGGAATAAAGAGGCTACCAGGACATCTTTATTTTCAGACACTTTTCTGCCTTTAAGGATCATCTGACCTTTCTTCTGAGTTACTGGAATCTTCCTGCCTCCAGCCCCCTCCCCTCCCTCTACCCCAATAATAGTTAACATCCTTTGGTGGGGGAGGTGCCATGGTGGGAAAAGTGTGATCTGCTAACCATTTTCAAACCTCTACCAAGTTTGTCATCTGAACCATTCTATGGGTCTAGTTGGATGGGAAGATAATCACTTCCTTTCTAGAGCCTGTGTTATTTTTAGCAACAAATGAGGGACTTCTATTTCCCTCAACGCCCCCTCACTCTAGCTGGTAGTTGGATGAGAAACTCTACTGGCCCTTTGTAACTGTAAGGGCTGGGCAGCTGTCTGGTGCTGTCAGGAAACAGAAAGCAGTGGTTGGCCTTAAATCCTTGGGATTGGGAGTGAGGGACATGATGAGGCTGGAAAAAACCAGATGGTTCCATTAAACACTGCTGAGGGATGACACCCCCCCCCATACTGTATGGCTAAAACTGGTAGGATTTCATCATTGCCACCATTTCCCTCCTCCCCATTTAACAAATGTGTTTCTTACAAATCTAAACATTTGCCTAATTACAAGCCTCCATTTAGGGAAAGGGAATAGACCCTGACAAGAGAAAGCTAACGGAGTGACAGTTTCAAGCGAAGTCTCATTTTCTCCCCCTCCCTAGTGCCCTACTCCAGGAAATTCCTTGTTACATATTTTGTATTTAATTGTTTATGTAGATGTTGCTACTTCCCTTCTATAGAATAAGCTCTCTGATGTTGGGGACCATTTCGTTGTCTTCCCATCATTGGCCGATTTTTGTCAACTTTGCTGATGTGCTAAGTGCAGTGACTTGAAAGTTAGAGTCATAAATTTAGAGGCTGCGCAGGTGGTAAAGTGAATATCTTATTGATGCTGGAGTCCCAAACACCTGAATACGAAATGAATCCTGCCTTACATGCTGAGTAGCTGTGTGACTCCCTGTGCAAGTCACTTAACCTCTCTTGGTCTCAGGGATTATAGCACTCTCTCTAAAGGGTCTTTGGGAAGCTCCATCTTTAAATTACTGGAGCACCCTTGGAGTTTTTGCTTTTAATTTGTATTCCTAGCATTTGCACTGTGCTTAAATGCTTATCAATTGATTGTTGAGGGACTTTGTAGACCCTGGAGAGCTCTAGGGTTAGTTCTTTTTATCGGGATGGGTGAGACCCTTAGAAGGTATTTAGCCCATCCCCTCTCATTTTGCAAATGACTAGACTCTGTTGCCCCTGGTCTCAGAAGTGATTGGCCACTCCTTCTTCTACCTTGGGAGGAAAAACAGCTGTTATCTTCCTCTTCCTACTCCCTGAGGTTTCATTTTAGTCGGAGCCACAAAGCCCACCCTGTGATGATCCCAAGAAGGCGGGCACTTTGGTGTATTTATTCTCCATGCTGGCTGTTAGCACACTGTAGTCAAGTCACATAGCTGAGGCTCCTCTGTAAAAGGAAGAGATAGGACTAAATGACCCTCAGAATTCTTCTTTTTTTTTAAGTTCTGTAATAACATGACTGAGAATTGGGAGGCAGGGCAAAAATGCCTTCCTAATGAGAATAGACTCAGTAGACTTTTTTAGCATGGTGTTGGAATGTCAGTGAGTACTCCCAGTATTGGAGGTGTCTGGTGAGAACCCTGGTTTCCCAAATGTCCATGACTCAGCCTATCACGATGTGAGTATTTAGGAAATATGAATTGATGGAACAGGCAATAGCTAAGCATCCAAGCAGTGCAAACCATTTATCCGTTCCCTGGTACTTGATGCCAGGTATCTGACCCGAAGATACCAGTGGAGGTGAACCTGAAGGAATCTGCACATTTTCTCAATGTGGAATCCAGGTGAATTGGAGATGATTGTCTTCTGAGCTTCTGTTCATTTCTGTCTACCCAGCTTTCAAAACAGGTCAGTCAGTGCCTTCTGGAAATTGACCGGGAAGCATCTACCACAGTTTTTTCTCTTGACTAGTATGATCATGGAGCTTGAATGGGAAGTTTCTGTAGCCAGTCAGGGCTTTCAAATAGGAAGCATGCAGTTTCCACATATTGCGATTATATTCTCCTG